ATAAGGAAGCCAGCATCTGAACTCGTTTATCTATTCAGAATAGCTCTGGGAAACGCAGGAGGTAACACAGGTTACCTGGAAGCTCAGGAGATAGGTACTTTACATCATAGGGTCTGCCACGACCCAGCTGGGACGATCGTCTCTCATCCTCCACAACTGCCAAAAGCCTGGCTATAAAGGTGGAGTCAGTGCCGCTTCCTTGCCCCTTACAAGACTCATACAAAAACCGCAGGATCGTACGTAGAACAGAGCTCTGCTCGGATGGATTAGCAGGGAAGGGTGCGATGAACCGCTTGTTGCTCGGCAGAAGGGGTGGAAGTTTGTGACAGCTGGGAGGTGGGCTGGGGAGGGTAGGATAAGAGAGTCAGGGGGTAGGGAGGAATCTGGGTTACTTTTGGAGTAACGCAGTGACTGTAGGAACCCAAAGCATTATTAGGAACACAGCAGGAGCTAGCATTTTTCCAAGTTGCTGCATGCCAGCGCTTGGGAGATGCCTCGCTTGAAGTGCCCTAGTATTCAGGCACCTAACTGACAATTGTCTGCTAACGAGCAGTGGGGCAGAACGCTGCACGGGACACTTGAGGGGGTGGCAATAGAGAGAACCGTGTCTCTGAATGCAGAGAAGCAGCAAAGGGTTGAGAGGAGGACTTGACGTTTCCTCAGTCCAACATCTGCATGGGTTGGTAAGCACCATGCATTTATTCACTTGAAGCTGTTTTCCTTTGTGATTTTGGCGTACAGAATAGATCATATGTGCATGGAGAAAACACATTTCAGAGCCCAGTGACCACTTGGACAGCTCTCTCAAGCAGGGGTCTTTGCTCGTACAGCTCCTAACACGACCGAGTGCTGACGTACCGATAGCTCTTTTAGCAAGATCTTTCATCACACCATGGTTCAGCAATTCATGTGGAGTTCCCTCTGATGACTGCAGGCTGGGGCCAAGAGAAGAGGCATGCAAGCTTTTGTCGCTGTCACTGGTAGGCTCAGTACAAAAGTTAGGAGCTGCTCAAGGCTTGTAGACCATAGAAGTACCCTGTTTCCATGACCAACAGTGATGCCTCTTTTGCATTGCATGAGCTGTTCAGGGTTGCAGTTACTTTTTAAAAAATTGTCCTAAAACCACCCACTCCTCCCTCAGCATCGCCAAAAATAGCAGAGGAACATCATGAAGAAAATAACCTGTGCCGACGATAGTAATGGGTTGACCTAAGCAGCAGATAAAACCCAAAATTATCACTGCAACCTTAGATGAGCCACATACACACAGCTAATAAACTGTTCCCTTAAGTCTCGAATTCATTATGTTACTTTTTCTTCACTGTGAGAAACTGCATTACCGAGGATGGGTACCATAGCATTCAAACTTCTCATTATTTTAAGAATTGATTGTGTGCACATGTGTGGCAGGAAGGGTGGATTAGTACAAAGGGAGTTCACTTATGAGAAGCTTCCCCCATTGTCAATTCCAATTTGAAATCCAGAAGGAAATCCGAGTTAAATAGGTGGTGAATTTAACTGATCTTCAGTAAAAAAAAAAAAAAAATGCAAACAGAAAATAGCAGTATGAAGCATTTGCTCAAGGAAGACTTTACAACCAGCACGAACAGCGGTTTTATTAGGAAAAAGTGCATCCATAAGCACATCTTGCTTAGGCTTATTATACGTGGCATAAAACCTCTTTACACTGGTGAGTGCAATAGCCACCAGTTGTCTGGATTAGACCGAACAAACAATAAAAGGCCTCAAATCAATATGCAGGTAACACCTGACCTCCCAAAATAGTGGCATATGTGAGTTTGCTCAGGAATGAGTGCTATGTGGGCAGAGGGCTTCAGTGGGTGTTGTTTTGGATGGGTGCAAGAAGGAGCACATTGAAGAGCAGAAAGTCAGATACAGCCATCGAGGCCCCGACAGCATGATGCTAAGGTAAAGCCTAGGATGTGTTTCGGGCTGGAGAATTGGCTGAAAGGAACTTGGAGTTTGAGCGAAGAAACCGACTCCTGTTTGATTCTTCCTATGTTTAAGGAAACCACCTGGTGTTGTAAATAAGCAATACCGCAAAGAAATCTGGCTCCATCCTCGATTTCTTCTCTCAGTTTAAAAAAAAGGAAAAGACTTCACGACCATGGATTTTTGCCTAGCCTCTCAGATCAAAAAGGGATGCAATGGAGACACTAACTCCAAGCTTGCCGTTCTTTTGCCTGTTCTTAGCTCTAGCTGCCCAAGTCAAATTTATCACAAGAGTGCATCTCGATTGTGTATGTAAAAGGAGAATTTGTATTATTTCCCATCCTCCCCTCCAAAATGACCCGGTACTTAACCAGGCGAGCTGAGGCAGTTGGATGTATAAAAATATTGCACTTGCAGTTTCATGTGTATCTTCAATATGGTGGTGCAAAGAACACCATTTTTATAGCAGCTTTTTGACCTGGGATTGTAGTAAAAAGGCCTCAAAGTGCATTTAAGAGGAGGTTATTGGCATCTGAGAGGTAGAAAAGGCTAAGGCACAGAAAGATATGCAGCCATGGGGTCCACTCCACTTTTGAGTGCTCTGCTCTAGGTAACATAACCCTGACATAGGGCTCTAGGCAACTTCATTTACAATTTACTGTTCATGGCTTCTAAAAAAGCCAGGCGCACGCACAGTAGTACACATCAACCCCTGCAAAATGGAAGCAACCAGCAGGAGGGATAATCTATAAATTGGGTTAAAGCCCCACCAAGTGCTTTAGGGTCTTCCTACATGTACAAGAAAAAGCAGGATAGAAACAAACCAGATATAAAATTGCTACACATTTTCAAGACCTAACTTTGTAGCTGGTTGACCATTTTTATGGTGGTGTAATTACTATGCATATGTAGCCAGTTTAACTTTATTGTGTAATCCCCCCCGAAATTGCATAATATATATAGTGTGTGGCTTTGACTTGCTAGAGGTGACTAAAAGGAGCCCCCATTCTGCAGTGATACTGGGATGATGGAAGCGTGCAAGTGCTGAAGGTGGGAGCTGTGCAAAGCCAAGGTGCACACTTGGGGACTGCCTGCAAAGGCCAAATATCATTGAATCATAGAAAATGAGTTGAAGGCTGCTATCAAATCCCCCTCGGTCTTGTCTTCTCTGGACTAAATAAGCCCAGTTCTCTCCCCTTACAAGTCATGTCCCTCAGCTCCCTGAACCGTTTTTGTTGCTCTCTGCTGGACTCTCTCCAGCATGTCCACATCCTTTCTGTAGGCCCCAAAGTGGACACAGGACTCCAGATGTGGCCTCACAAGTGCTGAACAGGGGGGAAGAATCACTTCCCTCAGTCAGCTGGCAGAGCTTCTACCAGTGCAGCCCGAGATGCTCATAGCCTTTGTTTGGCAAAAAGGGCGCACTGCTGGCTCACATTCGGCTTACTGTCCACTCTAACCACCAGGTCCTTTTCCTCAAAGCTGTTGTTTAGCCAGTCAGTCCCCAGCCTGCACCCGTGCATGGGATTGTTTCAAGATTTACCATTTATTCCATAAATGCAAAAACCTGGGGTGGGGGGGGAGGGTACGCCAGACCATCTACTGGCTCCTGAGAGGGCTCAGAGACCACGTGACGGCTGGCAGACAGGCTCAGGCCCAGGCACTGCGTTCTGCCTGCATCCAGCACCCTCTACCGTGGGCCAGCGCTTGCAGAGCACGTGGGATGCTGCATCGGGGGGACTGGGTACATGTAGGACGGTGCAGGCTTCTGGGTCACAAAGGGAGAAATGAAGCTGAGAGAGAGAGGAGAGAGAGAGTGCACATGCATGTGCAAGAAATACATGTGGTGCGTGCACGTGTGCAACCCACACGTGTATGTGCAAGCAACATGTGTGCAAGCACACGTGTATGTTCAACACCCATAATGTGTATATGTGCAAACAATACCTGTGATGCATAGGCGGGCATGCCATACATGGGATGTGTGCAACACATGATGTGAGTGTGCAAGCAGCACACGTGTGCAATGCATGGTGTGCAATGTGTGGTGTGCACCAGCAATACATGTGATGTGTATGTGGATGTCTGCAATGCATGACATGTGTGCAAGCAATATCCACGAAGCACATGTGCACGTGTGATACATATGACATGCCTACACAAGCAATACATGTAATTTGTGTACACGTGTGCAACACATCATGTGCGAGCAATACCTGTGAAGCATGTGTGCAAGCAATATGCACAACGTGTGTGTGCATGTGCAAGCAATCCACCTGAGGTGCACGTGCCATACATGCGTGCAAGCAATACAGGTGAGGCATACATGCATGCGTGCGATATGTGTGATGCATCTGTACAAGCAATACATGTGATGTGTGCATACGTGTGCGCACCACACGTCCTGTGTGCGCACGTGCAAGCAATATGCACAATGTGTGCGTGCAAGCCATACATGTGAGGTGCGTGTGCAATATGCGCGTGTGCAAGCCACGCATGGGAGATGTGCACGCACGTGTGCGCAACACACACAAGGGGTGTGCGCAACACGTGTGCGCGCAAACCACACACACGAGGCGTGAAAAGCGTGTGCAATGTATGTGTGTGTGCAAGCCACACACACGAGGCACGTGCGCAATGTGCGGGCACAAGCCATAGATGTGAGGCGCGCGTGCGTGTGTGTACTGCACCCGATATGCACGTGCAATACGTGTGCGTGCAAGCCACGCACGTGAGGTGCGTGTGCAAGACATGCGTGCAAGCCATGCGCACGACCCGCGCGCGAGGTGCCGGCCGGCCGCACACGCGGGGCGCGCGTGCAATGCACCTGCCATGCGTGTGCAAGCGCGGCGCCCTGCCCGC